CCGGAGGTTTCTTTTCTTCGCGGTCGACCTGAGCTCTTACGAACATACCCGAGGGTGAACTGCTGACAGGGTTTGCGATGAGGAGCGATCCGAACGTGGTATTCCGGTGATTATTCTTCTTTCTTGAATTCCACTGTGTAGAGGTTGCAGGTTAAGCGGAATTCCTATTCTCTGGCCGTCACCGAAAGAAAGAAGGAAACAGAAAGCTGCACGTGTGTATGCTGCACGGTCGCATTCCATTGGCCTCCTTGGGGGTCGTAAATCACAGTCTTCTCTACGTGTTACGTGTAGGGGCACCTGTCCACGTCATGCCTAAGGGCACTGAACGTCAAGAGAGATTTGTTGGTTTTCTAAAATCTCTCTCTGAACGTGGTTTCCACAATCTTGATTCTTGTCGAACACTGTGGTCACGTTCCGTTGCAGCGATGCCCATTTGCTGTGACCTGTCATGTGGGATCGCTCGAAGGAGCGAGCGAAGATTTGGCACGTCATATGCGCATATCACGATTCGGCACGGTCACCGAGAAGAACTCCCAGCGCAGCAATAGCAGGCGTCAAGTCTTCTGGTTCTTGTTGCGATGCACGACGGCCAGCTATCCTGGCCGCGATCCATCTCAAGCAGCGCCGTACAGTGCCGTCGAGAACGCCAAGAAGGCACAGTCCCAGCACACCCACGAGGAACCGGGTAGAGTCATCGGTCGTCAAGTAGGATATCGCGATGAGCCATGCAAGCGCAAAAACTACGAGAAGGAGGCGATGCCTCCCACGATCACGGGACGGTCGGTGAGCCCCCCCCTGACCGGCCACTGGGGATGCAATCTCGTCTTCGTCGCCCTCTGGAAGTGGCTCAATTATCACCTGCACGTGCGACGGCCCACCCACGTATGACTTCTTCATTGCCGCCGAGGCCCGGCGGATTGCCTTCATCTTCGCAGCCGCTTCTCGTAGCCAGATTGGCTCGGCATCATCGCCGCCCTGCGCTGCTGATCGCCTTGAAGATAGACGCGTCAGCTCCTAACACCCAACAAGCAAACGGTCAGAGGTGAATTATGACACTCTTCAGCTCTGAGATTGGAGCACCGCTTCTGCCAGGTTCAAGCGCTGCAACTCAGGCCCCGAGATGTTGCCGCCGCGAGAGGCAATCGCCAGCGCATCCGTCAGCCACTCGGGCGCATCCTCTGTCAACGACGCACGGCCGCTAAGCATAGTCGGAAACAGTCGTGCGGGCCGGACGGCCGTCGTGTGCGCTGTGCGCCGGTTCTCTTCGCGAACTATTTTTCTTTTTTTGTATGTAGCTCTTACGAACATACCCGTAGGTGAACTGCTGACAGGGTTTGCGATGAGGAGCGATCCGAACGTGGTATTCGGGTGATTAGATCACTACCGCCGAAGCGCAAGCGCTTGGAGCAAGGGAACTGCCACGTATGGGTCCCAGACTAGCACCCCACCTCGCGGGCCGACGTTCTGGCCCAGCAAGGCTGCTGCGGAGCACTCGGGGCCGATGTTCTGGCCCAGCGAGGCCGCTGCGGGGCACCCGGCGGCTCGGTTCGCTCATCAGCGCAAACTCGGTCGAGCAGAAAGTAAGGTGTGTGTGTAAAGGCGGCGCGGCACGGTAAGGGTCGGCGGTAAGGCGGCGCGGCGGCAGCAGGCGGCAGGCAGGACATCGGACGGCGGGACATACGGCGCGGCGGGCGCGGCACTGTAGGAGCGGCCGCGGTACGGCGGCACGGCGGTAACGGACGGCAAGGGGGGGCGGCAGCAATAATATCGTTGGCCGAAGCCTCGTTGGCCGAAGCCTCGGTTTTTTTGTACCGGCCGTGAACAACTTTTTTGGGGGCGGGGGTGTGGGTCGTGGCGAGGCTCCCTCGCAGGACGCACTATTTCGATCACCCCACAACAAATGACGCTGGATCCTAGTCACTCCTCAACTTCAGGTAGCGGTATGCACCTCGCGCCTCGTGCGAGAACCAGCCCTGGCTCCAAAAGTAGAGAAGGACAACCGACCCCATGGTGACGAAGATCGCCCAAAACAAGTAGTAGCCGTACTTCAGCTGCAGCTCGGGCATGTTTTCGAAGTTCATGCCCCAGACCCCTGACATGAACTGGCCGGGGATGAATATGGTTGTCACGATCGTCAGCGTGCGCAGCACTTGCTCCTGGTGCGATTCCTTGCAGAAGCGGTACAGCTCGACCAGCGACTCGGCCTTGCGCGCCATGCGCTGGATGTCATCAACAACATACTGGAGGTCGTCCCGGCTGCGTCGCAGCTGCGTGAGGTCGGAGCTAAAGAACAGCGAGACGTCCGAGTCGGAGCGGTCGAAGGCGGCCATGTCGTTGTTGAGCGGGATGAGCGCGCCGGCAAACTCGTCGAGCACAGAGCGGATGTCGTGGAGGTGCTGGACATGCAGCGGCTGCGGCCGAGTGGTGATCTCGTCGTCCAGCGTGTTGAGCCAGCGGTCGATGACGTGCCTGAGCGCGCGGGCAGAGGGTGGTGCGCAGAAGGGAGGCCCTCCTAGTGAGCGACCCGCAGCGAGCAGCGGCGCCGGTTGTAGTCGAGCGCGTCGATGACTGAAGCTAGGACCGCGCACGCCAACGAGGCCGAGTCGGTCGTGAGGTAGGGCTGCGCGCCTTGCGGCAGCGAGGGCAAGGAGACGGAGTTTCGCCTCCGGCCGTGCCGTCTCGCCTCGCGCCTCCTTTCATCCATGTCCGCCATCAGCGTCTTGCGCGTCCGGTCGAGGATGGCGGCGGGGTCCATGTTGAAGACGCCGTAGCCCAGGCTACGCCAGTACCCCCGGTGCTCGCGCGCATCCGGGCTGCTCTCCTCTGGCGCGTGCTGCACGTACCTGCTCGTCCCCACCCTCTCGTGAGCTCGCGTGCGCCGGGCCTCCGCTCGCCGCGGCTCTCTCTCCCTCTCTCTCTCTCTCTCTCTCTCTCTCTCTCTCTCTCTCTCTCTCTCTCTCTCTCTCTCTCTCTCTCTCTCTCTCTCTCTCTCTCTCTCTCTCTCTCTCTCTCTCTCTCTCTCTCTCTCTCTCTCTCTGTGTGTGTGTGTGTGTGTGTGTGTGTGTGTGTGTGTGTGGTGTGTGTGTAGTGTAGTGTAGTGTAGTGTGGTGTGGTGTGGTGTGTGCGCGCCCCCTCCACCGCCAGCTCTGGCTTCCGGTGAGCAAGCCGCTGCGGCCGGCGCTGCGGTCGGCGGTGGCGGCGCGGTTGGAGACGGGCACGCGGATGTCGTCCTGGATGACGGTGAGGAGGACCTCCTCGGGGCAGCCGCCCGGCACGGAGCTCGCGGTGGGCTTGAGGCAGAACATCTCGATCTGCGACTGGATCAGCGTCGGCGGGTGCTTGTCCAGCGCCTTCTTGTCGTGGAGGCGGAAGCGGCCCGTGGTCTTGGAGCCGGAGATTGGCTCGCACGGGAAGTTTGCGATCGAGATCGAGTGGCACACGATGTGCGCAAAGGCGAGCGGGTCGGTGGAGATGGGGTTGTCCTCGGGAGGACCGGCCGGGCCGCTCGCGTCGGCGTCCGCCGCGACACGGCGATCAATCTCGAAGGTGCCGAGCTGCGTGATGCCGAGCCTGCGGGCGCCGCGGGGCCGCTGGGTCTCAGGCACGGGGCCCGTGAGACGAAGCTAGGGGGGCTGGACAGAGACAAGCACCCGAGGCCCGACGTGCGCGGCAGCCGGTACTCCTCGAGCAGCCACGCCGACATGTCCGGCTCCGCATTGCGCACGTCGATCCAGCGGCACGGCGAGAGCCAATGGCTCGGGATGGAGAGAGGTGGCTGACCCGTCACGTCCGCCTCGACAATGCCGTCTCCGGCTTGGCCCTCGCCCGACGCCCTCGCACCCCACACCACGTGGCGCTCCCTGCAGGCTGGCAGGTGCGAGTGCACATCCTCCGCCACGCGGACGGCGCGCGCGCTGTCGATGATTTGGCCGGTGGTGCGTCCCAGCAGTACCGCCTCAAACTCGACCTCTGACACGTCTCCCGTCCTGCCGACGTCCGCCAGCTGCATGTACTGCGCAAAGGTCGGCAGCGCGGCGTGGAACCTCCTCCAGCTGCTGTCGCCCTGCCCGACCACGCTCGTGGCCAGGGCCTCGTCAGACTGGAGCATCCCCATCCACTCGAGGGCCTCGCCAAACTGTGCCTTTGACAACGCGTGGTCCCGGTCGTGGTCAAAAAGGCGGAACAGCTGGTGCACCTGCGGCGGACGGGGAGGGGTGAGCAGCAGCACAGCACCCGCACAGCAGCAGCAGAGGCGGACGGCAGTGGCATGAGAGCATGCTGCCGCGCCGACGCACCGCAAGGGCAGTGAAGCCGTGCTCTCTGCCGGTCACGACCAGCTCCGCGATCTCTTGCCGCCTCCGCACATTGTAAAAGGAGGCCATCTGGGCGTTGAACGGGCTCGCCGAGGGCAACTGCTCATCAAGCGACGCAAGCGACGGCACCGATGACTGCGCCCTGGTGCTGTCCGCATGCGACACTTTAGACCTGGCCGGCGACAACGGACGGGTCGCCCTGCTCGATGACATCAGCGCGGAGAAGGCGCGTCGTTGGGTTACTATTATTTTTTTTTGAGCTTGCCTTCGATGTTATGAAAACAACGCAAGGCGGACAGGGCATATCGCTCTCGGGCCCACAGACATCCCGCGCACACTCGCCGCACACCCGCCGCCCCCGCGCGCGCCCCACCCCGGCCGGGAGAAAGGGGAGTGACAGATTGGGATGGCAACAGAACGAGTATGTTGAGTCCTGGCTCAACAACGCAGAGAGAAATGAAAGCCGTCCGGCTCACAAGTCCGGCTCACGCGCCCCGACTGACCGATCTACCGCACTGAGCACTTGTATATTTTTTTGTTTTTTTGTGAGATCCCTCGAATGGCAGGAGCGTGCAGAGATTCCTCCTCCTCTTTTCCGAGAAGAAACCCACAGCGCGGCTGGAATTATTTATTGGGCGAGGCCTCTCACACCGCAGCAGCGAGGAGAGCCGGTCCACAACTGGCGGCATGGCGCGCTGGCCCGGCTCGCTGGTGCGCCCTCTACGTAGCGGGCTCTCTATAGCCCGCGGCAGCATTGGTGGGAGCAGCGGCGGCGGCGGCGGCGATAGCGGCGGCGGCGACAGCGACAGCGGCAGCGGCGATGCGCCAGTTGCGCTCGTGCTGACGCATGCCCTCGGCTTCAGCAAGGAGTGCTGGGCGCCTGTGCTGGAGGATCTTGCGCCGCTGCTGACGCGCCGGGTTGAGTGGGTTGCGCTCGACTTCTCCGGCCACGGCGCGTCAACATCGTCTCCGCCGACGGGGCGGTGGGACGAGTACCACGTGGCCGAGGCGCGGGAGGTGCTTCAGTCGGAGCTGCGTGCTGTCGCTCCGGCGTCGCGCACCGTCGGAGTGGGCCACTCCATGGGCGGCGCCGTGCTGGCTGCGCTCGAGCTGCGCCAGCCTGGCTCGCTTGCTCGCGTGGCGGCCATTGAACCGCCCATCTTCCCGGCCGCCGTCGGCCGGCTCGCGCGCCTGCTCACCTCCGCAGGGCTGAACCCGCTAGCCAACGCCGCGGCGCAGCGCCGCCGCGCCTGGCCGAGCGCGGCCGCCGCGCGGGAGCACTTTGGCTCGCGCATGGCGGCCGGGTGGGACTCTCGCTCGCTCGACGCCTTTCTCGGCGGCGCGCTGAGGGACGCTCCGGGAGGCGGCGTCGAGCTCTGCTGCGACCCGGCCACCGAGGCGCGCTGCCTCGGGCTGCCCCTCGTCGCCAGCGAGGTGGCGGCGGGGTACGACGGAGGCGCCGCCGTCACGCTCGTCACCTGCTCCGCGTCGCGCTTCTCGCCGTTGCTGCTGCCGGGCAGCGGTCCCGCCGCCTACTCGCTCGTCGCGCAGACGCTGCGCGCGGGCGTGGTCCGACTGCCAGGGGCGAGCCACCACCTGGTCGTGCAGGAGCAACCGGCGCTGGTGGCGAGGCTCGTAGCGGATGAGGTAGCTGCGATCGTCTAGAGGCGGCGCGCGCAGGTCGGTCGTGGCTAGTGCCATTTCACTCTGTGGCACAGCTCGCGTTACAAAACCTTGATTTTGACCATTTGCGCACTATTGTACCTCTCGGTGCCTTCCAGAGGCAGCTGCGAGTCCCCTGAGTCACGCAAGCGTCCTGCGGGGAGGTACATTTGTTGCGCGCCGGAGACGACTCGACGTCGCTGAGATCGGAGATCAAGCTCTGACAGGTCGCACGTCGCTCCTTTGACGCCGACGTGACTCACCCGTGCAGATCACATCATGACATGGTCTCGACGCGCTCGGTACGACGCCTGCGACCCGTCTCGGGTCAGGTGGCACGACGCTCATCGCGCCTACCAGCGCTGCCGTACAGGTTGCCACGACGAGGTCGAGCACGCTTCTATACGCTCGCCGAGCCTTCCTTTCCATCCCATTAGGCAGCCTGGGAACGGTGGCGGTCAGAGGCAAAGCCTACGAGGGGTGGTGGAACCACATGTCACGGCTACTGCCGGCTCGACCCCACGATAGCCTCCGAAGGCTGACTTTGCGGCACCATCATCGGACGATGTCGACGAGTTGGGTCGCTCTCGCGGTAGCCAGATGACCTCTCTTCCTAGGATCATCGGCCATGGTCGCAGGGAGCGCGGGGGAGGGCGCTGGAAGCAACACGGAGCTCCGTTGGAGACGTTTTCAAGATTAGCGTGTCAGAGTGAAATGGCACTAGCCCGTATGGATTCACACACTCTTTATCACTTCCCCGATGTGTTTTCTAATGAGAATTTATGAGAAACATTTCACAATTAAGTTTTTAATCGTCGTGCCTCTGAGCGCTACGTGGGCATGATGGCTGTCACGTGCTTCTCGGACAGGAGCGCGGCAGCTTAGACCCCCCCCCTCGAGGAACGAGGACCCCCCCTCCCCCCCCTGCAACTGTTGCTGCTCCCGTCTGCGTCTGGTGGTTCGGCGGCGGCGGGTCTGGCAGTGCGACTGAGCCCTGGCTGTCAGGCTGTCAGGTGCTGTCATCTGTCGGGCTGTCGGGCAGCTGTCAGGCACTGTCAGGTGCCTCTGTCAGACCAGCTGTCGGGTGCTGTCAGTGCTGTCGGGTGCTGTCGGGTGCGTGTCTGACATCAGAGGGGATCTGTAGCTGTCGGGTGCTGTCGGAGCTGTCGGGTGTTGCTGTCAGACGCTGTCGGAGCTGTCAGAGCTGTCAGGCTGCTGCTGCTGTCGGACGTTGGGCTGTTGCTGTCAGGTGCTGTCAGGTGGTGCTGTCGGGGTGCTGTCAGGCTCTGACACACACCAGCCACACTTATGACATTATCAAGAGGAGACCAGCAGGACTCTACTACACATACATACTCTAGCCTCTACTCTGCCTCCCGGTCCCACCATCTTTTTCATGGTGGACGTCACCATCTTCTTGTCTGCCGCACTGAGAGAATAGCAGAGAGGCAGGGGGGAGTGCTTCTTCAGGTACACCTTGCTGATGATCTGGTAGTTGCTGGTCCAGCGGAAGGCCTCCCCATCGTTGTCGCTCGTCAGCTTGTAGTACTTGCACGCTCTGTTCTGGTAGCGCGGGCCGTCTGGGGGGGTCCCGTCACCCTTCACCTCACGGTACCACCGGAGGATAAAGAGGCCCTTGGGGTCGTTGATGAAGACCCCGTAGCGTTGCTGCGCTGACTCATCGAGAGCTGGCGCAGGTACTCTGCGCTCGAGCTGCCAGTGGCGCGGCGCGCGTCTACCGTGCCGTCGGCGACGGCCACCTGCTCGATGTTGCCAATGGCAAAGACCTTGGAGCTGTCCTCCATGGTGAAGAGCACCGCAACTGCGGAGAGAAAGAGAAGAGGGAGAGATGAGAATGCACGTCTTATGTGTGTGTGTGACAGGCGGCAAGGGCGTGGTCACCGTCATCATCATCCTCATCCACATCCTCGCCTCGCTGCTGATGGGACTTGATGAGCCGCTTGACGTGGAAGCGGAGCTTGCGATCCTTTGACTCCTCCTGGATGGAGACGTTGAAATCTGCCAGCAGCTTACGGATCTCCTCAAAAAACTCTGCGCTGCTGCCCTCCTCGCCGCCGGTTGGAGGCGCCACGTTGGCCCCCGTCCGCATCAGCTGGTTCAGCACGGCCTCGGCATCTGCAGCATCCTGTGCGCCCATGGCGATCAGCTCGGCCGGCTCAGCATCGGGTGTGCCGTTTGATCATCCTCCTTCTCTCCCGGCTCCTCCAGCAACGCGCCACCCTGGACATATAGGTGTCAGCCAGAGGAAAGTGCAAGCACGGCTGCTTGAAGAAGCCGGTCTGTGCACAGAGGTTGGCGCGGACTCCACAGAATCGAAGGCGCGGACCACATGCACATGTCTTTGCATGTAATAGTTTTGCTATACCCTCATGGGACACAAGAAAGAGGCTGCACGGCCTGAGTACGGTCTGTGCTGCTGTCGGGCTGGTCGGGCTGTCGGGCTGTCAGCGCTGCTGTCAGGCCGCTGTGTGCTGTCGGGCTGTGTCGGGCAGCTGTCAGGCTGTCACGTTAGGGCCTGACAGCGACGGGACGCCTCTGATGTCAGGCTCTGCTGTCAGGCTGTCAGATACGTGCTGTCAGACTGTCGGAGGAAGTGCTGTCAGCGCTGTCAGGCTGTCGGGCACTGTCAGGCGCTGTCCGGGGTTTGCTGTCAGGCTGTCAGACCAGGGCTCAGCAGTGCGACCGGGCGCGACCACGCGCTCGTCTCGTGCTTCGGCTGCCGGAGCAGCACCGGCATCGCCACGCGCGTACGACCAGGTGGCCGGTCAGCGTGGTACCGGACACGACTGGAGAGGCGGGCGCTCACTAGCTCGAAAAGATGGAGCCAAGGCTGTGAATAGGAAGCTCGGGTAGCGGCGTGTGTGCAAGTGCCGGTGAAGCATCGCTCCGGCGGCCCCTCGCCGCTCGCTGCTCGCCGAGGCAATGACCACCGCGCCGGCTCCGGACGCGGAGAGCGACGACACGATAAACGGCCAGCGCGTGTACGGGTGCGAGCTCATCCAGCAGATGGGCATCATGCTCGCGCTGCCGCAGGTCGGGATAGCGACGGCGCAGGTGATGTTCCACCGCTTCTACGCGCGCCGGTCAATGCGGCGGTTCGACGTGCGTCACGTGGCGACGGGCGCGCTGTTCCTCGCCACCAAGGTGGAGGAGTGCCCGCGCAAAGTGCGCGATGTGCTCGGCTGCTTCCAGCACCTACTCAGCAAGCGCGCGGGCAAGCGGCCGGTGCCGCTCGACATCTTCTCGCAGGACTACGCCAACCTGAAGGACAAGCTGATCCGCGCGGAGCGCGAGATCCTCAAGGAGCTCGGCTTCATCCTCTACAGCGAGCACCCGCACAAGTTCATCCTCAACTACGTCAAGCTCCTCGCGCCGTCAAAGGAGCAAGAGCACGCGCTCGCGCAGGCGACTGGCTGACTGCACGAGAGAGACAGACCGACGGAGCGGCCTCAGACACGCACACGCACCCCACCGCCACCACCGCCCCCGCGCTCCCCTCCCTCCGCGAGCGCCCTGGCTCCTCCCTCGGCTGGCGGCATACGGAGGGGACCGCGCCTCTGCCCCCGCTCTCCCTCACCTCTGCCCCCGCTCTCCCTCCCTGCAGGCGGCCTGGAACTTCATCAACGACTCGCAGCGTACGGACGCGTGCATCAAGTTCGCGCCCGAGGCGGACCCGCCGCGCCGGTGAGCCCGCGGCGACGAGACGCTGTTCACACCCCCGCCCCCCCCCTGCACAGGCGATCTGCTGCGCCGCGATCTGGTTTGCCGCGCGCACGCTGGGCAGCCTTTGGCGCCGGCAGAGCCTCTCCGCCCCTCGCCCGTCCCCCGACCCTGCCCTCGACCCTACCTGTAGGCATCCGCCTTCCGTCGGCAAACCTCCGCCCTGGCGCCGTGCCGCGCCCCTTCCCTCCGCCTCCACCCTCGCCGCCCCTCGCCGCCGCAGGACGCGTCGCCGCCCTGGTGGGAGCTCTTCGACACGCAGAGGCGAAGGGGGGGGGGGGGGGGGGGCGAGAGCCCCAGTCTCTGAGCCTGCTCTGAGCCTGCTCTGGGCCCTCCTGCAGGCAAGACATGGACGCGGTCGTGCAGATGGTCACGGCGCGCGCGAGCCGCAGCACACACGCACACACGCACACACGCACACACACACACGCACACACACGCACACTCGCTTCACCGGGAGACCCCCCCCCCCCCCTCTCCCTCCCCCCAGGACCTCTACATGCGGCCCCGCGCCCGCTTCGTCAAGCTAGACCCGCCGCCCAAGCCAGCCGCCCCGCCAGCCGCGCCGCCAGCCGCGCCGCCGCCGCCCGCCGCCGCGCCGCCGCCCGCCGCCCCGCCAACCGCCACCGCGCCGCCCGCCGCCGCGCCGCCGGGAGCGGGCGGCGGTGGCGACCTCCCGGGTGGCGACCTCCCGTCGCCCGGCGCAGAGCGGGAGCGCGAGCTGCGCGAGAAGGCGATGGCCGCCGCCGCCGCCGCCGCCGCTGCCAAGGAGCGTGCGAGCAGCGACGCTAGCCCGGGCGGCGGCGCGGGCGGCGGGGAGGCGAATGGCGCGGAGCCGGCGGGGCGGGGCAAGGAGGGCGGGGAGCGGAGGCGGCGCGATCGCTCCTCGAGCCGCGACCGAGACAGAGACCGCGACCGAGACCGCGACAGAGAGCGCGACAGAGACAAGAGGCGCCGGGGCGTGGCGGCGGCGAGCCCCGCGCCCTCGCCCCGCCGACAGTACCTCGAGCCCGGAGTAGGCGGCGCCGGGAGCGGGACGACCGCGACGAGGGACGGCGCGATCGGAGGGATCGCGATGGCGATCGCGACCGGCGCGACCGGCGCGGCCACCGCGGGGTCGGCCTCGACCTCTCCCCACGCCCTCGTCCTTTAGACGCGGCGGCGCGCCTCGCACTTTGTAGGCGGGAGAGGGACTACGACCGGAGGGAGGAGGACCGCTACGACGACCGGCGCGACGACCGCCGACGGTAGGGAGGGCGGGGTGCGGAGTGCGCGAGCAGCCGGCAAGGTCTGAGCGCTAGTGACGGCAGAACGTCGCGCAGCCGCAGCTGCCGCAGGTCCTCCTGAGGCACAGATTGCCTAGGGGGCCATGTCTCTGCCGCCTCTCTCGAGAGACGAGATACGCTGCTACGGTACACGCACACGCGCGACGGGGAGAGTCCGACTCTCCCCACCCAGTGCGACCCCAGCGAGAGGCGAGAGCTGAGAGAGGCGCACAACAAGGCATGAAGACATATATGTTCTCGAGGATAATGTTTCCGTTCACTCTTCCTATCGCGTATCGCTATCGGGACAAGCGACATCACGCGCAGCCGTATTAAACTAATTATTTACCATACGATACCCACACACACGGACGAGACACCACACCACACGGTCCCCTCGTTGCCAACGACGTTCGGAACTTCCGTAAACGTTGCTCGTAGCTCGTGTACACATATCGATACACGTCATCGTCGGGGGCGTCGAAGCTCTCGTCCCTCGAACATATAACACAACACAGTACAACACAGACAGTCCGGACCGCGAGAGCAGGTTAGAGAGAGAACGTAGACATGACAGGTACACATTGACGAGACACCAGAGTGCATGCCAGAAAGCGACAGTTGCGAGCGGCGCGCAAGAGTGCTGGGCCGAGAGTACACATCACGCCCCCATGCGAAGGGGCGAGGGAGTGCGTCGCGACGTAGTAGACAGGATCGGATGCGGCAAGTGCGAGGAGCTGCTAACGTGCTAACGACGAGGCGCCTACCTGCGGCGGTCACGACAGCTTCGCCTTCCTTCAGGCCAGTCGCAACGGACGCTCACGTTCCATCGGGCGGTGGGAGGATCCGCATCTCTTCGAGAACCGCAGCCATCTGCGTGACCACGGTTTCCGCGCTCAGCTGCCCCTGGTGTCCGGCCATACGCTGCGTCATGCGCTGTGACACCGCCTCCGCCAGGCCGGGCGGCGGCACGAACGCGTTTGGCCCCGGCATCTGCTGCAACAGCTGCTGCATGACAGCTGGGCCAAACTCGCCGCCCACGACAGCGCCGCCGCCGGGAAAGGCGACGGCATGGATGGTAGCGCCGCCAGCGGTGGCAGCGCTGCCAGCGGTAGCAGCGCCGACAGGAGCAGCAGGGCCACCTGCTGGCACGGCGGCAGCAGCGCCGCCGCCACCGCCGCCCGCACTCGCGTTGCCGCCGGCGGGCGGAGCACTTGGCGTCCCGGCAAGCATGTCGTCGCCGCCGGCATCGGCTCCGCCCTCGTCCTCCTCCCTCGACCGGGAGCGCAGGTTGTTCATCTTGATCTTCAACCGCTTCACCTCTCCGGCCAGCAGCTCGACCTCCACAGGGTAGCGGCCGCCTTCCGGCTCGAAGCCGCCGATGACCGTCCCCCGCCGGCCGTTGAACTGCGGCTGCTTCGCCAGGCCGACGATGACGACGAGGTCTCCCCTTCTTTCTGGGATACGGCACCTACATCCTTTTCTTGTTAAAATGAACTCGGGGGCACGGGACGCGGCACAAACGGCGCACAAACGCGAGACTACATCCTACAAACACGGTGATGCACGTAGTGACGCACATCCTTTTCCCTTTGAAATCCCTGTGTGGCAACGGAGGAGACAAACCCATGTGTGGTGGCGATCTGTGCCGGTCTCCCATCGTCCGAGACGTCCCTCAGAGTCTCTGTGTGTGGGGGGGGGGGGGGAGTGTGCGAGAGCGCCCGCGCTGGACCACAAGGACAAATCTCCGAGAGGGTGGAGGCCGAGGGAGCGGCTGGCCGAGCGACTACTAGCGGGCTTCTAGACCCCGCCGAGCAGGCAGGCGAGTCCGACGGCGTACGATAGGGGCACCACCCACCGCGACACCTCGTCGATGGCGAAGGCGATCCGCTGCCACTTACCGTTGATGCGCTTGATCTCGGCCTCGTAACGCTTGATCTCGGCCTCGTCAGGCTTGATCTCGTAACTGTCGTTGGCATCGCGCTGCGAAAGCTCCGGGACACTGTCGCCGGCTTTGCTAACTGCGCGGGGTGGGGCCTCTGCTTTTTGACCTGCCACTGCCGCCGCGCATCGGCTCGCCCAGCGCAGAAAGGGTGGCAGGAGCGACTTGGAGGTCTTGTGGTAGAGGCTGATGACGATGCATGATTCGGCGAGCACCAACGTGGCGTAGGCGAGGCTGGAGCAGGGGGTGCGGTGGGTGAGTGGGAGCTAAACACCCTGGAAGGCGGTCCCCGCGGCGTGCACACCTGAAGGCGGAGAACTGTGCAAACCTAGCATAGCAGGGTCCGAGAAAGGTAAGGGTCTGAGGGTCTTGCCAGGAGCGAGAGACGCTTGGCATGGCGCGGACCATGTCATTTCGGATGCAGCCGGGAGCTTGCCGTTGATGACAAAGTCGGACGCCACGGCGGCGAGCAGCGCCTAGGATTGGTTCTGAAAAAGCTCGAGGATGCCCCTCCGCACCACGCACCGCACGGCAGGAGAGAACAGCGCCGTGATGCCGAGGCCGAGCCGCTCGCCGCACTGGGGCGGGACGCTGAAGCAGAGGAAGCCGATGAAGTTGAGCACCACCTGCGGCAGCGAGCGGTGGGGAGAGTGTGTGTTTGGATGCCCAGCGGTGCATGGCTGTCGGGCGCTTTGCGCCGCGCGTTCAACGCGATGTAGCCGCGGGTGTACGGCTGCCAAGCCCGCTTGAACACGACCTGCAGAGCACGCGAGAGAGAGAGTGCGTGCGCGCCAGTCGTGCTTGCCGAGGTGTGCAGTGGACTAGCAGTGGCTTCTGCACCTCGTAGAGGAGGACAGGCCAGTCGTTCTCTGGGTCGCCGGGGTAAGGCGGGTAGACTTTATCGCGGCATTCGACGCCCTCGAGCGAAAACTCCTGGAAGGACTCGCCCGCGGTCTCGGAGCCTCCAATGCTGAAGCCGTCGCCCATCTTGACGGGGCGGAGGTAGAGGCCGCTACTCACACAACCGCATCGTGAGGCAATCGCCGTATCTCTCTGTACTCCTCGAGGTTGGTCGGCCTGAAGCTCCAGCTGCCAAACTCCATCGTGCATCCCAGCTCGTCGAACGGGAAGCGGTCGAGTCCTACGAACTTGCAAGTGGGGCGGAGGTGGCCGGGCCGTGACCAGAAGACGGTGCCGTCGCTCGATACACTCGCGAAGGCGTTGGAGAGCGAGGTCTGCATCGACTCGCCCTGGTTCCACAGGGTCATGTCGGGCGTCCAAATGTCGGACGAGACGTCGGACGAGGCGCCGTCGCCGACCCACAGTTGCAGCGTTGCGAGGCCACCGTACTGCGAGGCGTTCCACGCCAGCCGCGGGTCATGCCACCGCAGCCGGTACCACACGATTAAGTCGGTGGCGTGGTTGACTACGTCCACAGAGTGCACCCGGTGGAAGTTGATGCCCATTTCCACCTTCAAGCCCGACCGCTCCCCCCCGTCGGCCAGCGCCGCTTCCCAAGCAAATTCCCACGGATATGCTCCTTTGTCGTATGAGACGAGGAGGTCCGCCCGCAGGCGGCCCGAGGCGCCGTTATCGGCTAGCGCAGGCGTCGCGATGTGCAGGGCCAGCAGGCTCATCGCCAGGTTACGCAGCATCAGCGAGCCGCCACAGACAGGTGCTTGTTGGACTTATTTAGGAGCGGGACGAGCCGCCCCCCCGCCGTTTTTCATCGTTTATGGAAAGGTTGATCGCGGGCGGCCGCAGCGTCCCAAATTTAGGAATCAAGGCGGAATTGGCGGCTATACACGATGGAACATCTTTGTTTTCGGTGTACGGCTCTTACTATGCACTTTATGCGGCTCGGTCTCAGTAAAGTTTGAGCGTACCTCAGAAGAACATGCCCACACATGCGACCCCGAGATCCCGCCGCGGTACAGTACGGCTCTCCTTCTCTGGTCCTCAGTCTCGGCCCTCACTCCCCACTCACACAGCCGCTGCAGCGTCCGCCACGCCCAGCGCCGAGTCGACCACCTCTGACGTCTCTGCGTCGCTCAGCCCATCGCCGACGCGCACGAGCTCCGCGTAGGCGCCGTTGCGGCGGAGGAGGGCGTCGTGCGTCCCCTCCTCGACGATGGCGCCGTGCGACACCACGACGATGTGGTCCGCCTGCCGCGCCTGCGAGACCTTGTGCGTGGTGAAGAGGACCGTCCGGTCGCCTGCTGGGCGAGGCAAGGGGCGGGGGGCGGGGGAGGGGAAGAGCAGTCAGCGCGGCGCGAGCAAGGCTGGCAGGCAGGGGCAGGCAGGGGGGGGGGGGGGGGGGTGCGTGCAGTCGGCGAGGGGTGTGTGCAGTGGAAGGGGTGAGGCAGCGGTGGCGATGGGAGAGGGGGTTGGGAGGGCGAGCAAGGCTGGCTCTCGCCTGCCGCGCGGGCGATGGCCGCCTAGTACCACACCACCCACGGGACTGAACCCACACTGGACTCGATACTTTGGAGGTGTGGTACTAGGCGGGCGATGGCTGCCTCTGCGATCGCCTCCGCCTGCGGGTCGAGCGCGCTCGTCGCCTCGTCGAGCAGCAGCAGCGCCGGGTCGCGCACGAGCGCCCTCGCCAGCGCGATGCGCTGCTTTTGCCCGCCGGAGAGGGAGGCGCCGGCAGCGCCGATCCGCGTCTCGAAGCCGCTCGGCAGCGCCGCGATGAAGTCGAACGCGTTTGCCTCGCGGGCCGCCTCCTCGACGGCGTCCATCGAGCAGTCGGCAAGCCCGTACGCGATGTTGTCGCGGATGGTGATGTTGGGGAAGAGCGGGGGCTCCTGCTGCACCCACGCGGTCCGGCGACGCAGGTCCGCCTCGCCCATCCGGGCCACGTCGGCGCCGTCGAGCAGGACGCGGCCGGACGAAGGCACGTAGAAGCGGAGCGCGAGCGCGAAGAGCGTCGACTTTCCCGAGCCGGAGCCGCCCAGGATGGCGGTGCGGCGGCCTACACGGGACATGTCTCGGACACGTCACGGACGCGTCCTGAGGCACATGCAGCCACGAGGACGGCGCGGCGGCCGGCAGGCACGCGGAGGGAGAGGGAGCGGAGGACGGGGCGACTTTGCCGCGAGGGGTAGGCAAAGTCGACGTCGACGAACTCGAGCGACCCGCGCGGCGAGCCCGAGGAGCCAGAGGAGAGGGGGAGGGGCGGAGGCGGCGATGCCGCGGCGTCGGCGTCGGCGGGCTGCGGGGCGGGCTGCGGCGCGGTGGTGTTCGAGAGGTCGAGCGCGCGCGGCTCGAGGTAGTCGAAGACCTGGCGGGAGAGAGGCGCCCCGCTGTCGGTGGCGTGTGCGCGAGAGGGCCGGGGGGGGGGGGGGGAGGGGAGACTGTGCGTGTGTCTGTGTGTGTGTGTGTGTGTGTGTGTGTGTGTGTGTGTGTGTGTGTGTGTGTGTGTGTGTGTGTGTGTGTGTGTGTGGTGCGCGTGCGCGTGCGGTGTGTGCGCGTGCGGCGAGTGCGCGTGCGCGGGCGTGTGCGTGTGCGTGCGTGAGGTGTCGTGCGCCTCCGTCGCCGCGCCGAGCGCCTCCTGGATGCGGCTCCACTGGTCGAGCACCTGTGTGCGGGCGAGCTCGCGGACGTGTCGTGGACATGTCGGCTGGCGGGCGGGGGAGGCTGGCTGGCCGGGCACGTCGCTCGACGCGTCCGAGATGAAGGCGACGTAGAGGACGAAGGAGGTGAGCGCCTCGCGGCGGCGGCGCGGGAGGAGGAGGGTGGGCAGGGGCGAGGGGAGAGGAAGAGGCGAGACGGAAGAGAGGAAGCGAAGAAAGGAGAGGAAGAGAGGGAGGCGAGGGTAGGAGAGCGCCTCGCGGGGCAGCACGCCCGCCGCCACAAGCGCGGCGCCGCCAGCGAGGACGGCCACGTTGAGGGCGGCGTTGACGGCGCCTGCGGGATATGTCCGAGACCTGTCACGGCCATCCTGCCCACGACGAGCGCGGCGTTGTGGTTCGCCGTTGAAGACACGCGAGCAGCCGTAGATGGCGCCGTACTCGGTCTGCAGCCGCAGCAAGCCGTCCAGCTGCTGCCCGTACCTATGCGTATGCACACACGCAGCCGTGGAGAGATAAACGCGAGGGGAGGCAAGCCTTCCTGCTGCTGCCCGCACCGCCGCCGCTCGCTCCGCTGGCTGCCGTGCGACCTGGGAGACGGTTCCGAGAAGGTTCATGGAAAGTGGCGCCAGAGAGCCTTGCGTGAGAAGCTTCTCTTCTATATTCATCTCGAGGTATGACCGGGCGCGCTTGATGGAGGAGAAGCGCTGGGAGAGGACTAGGAGACCGTCTGAGTGGTCTGCAGGGAGTGTACCGGACGAGCTTGATGAGCGAGAAACACTGCTCCGCCACGCCAGACGAAGCTGCGAGCCGGTCCTGCTGCGCCTGGGGGGGGAGTAGGGCGAGGAGGTTGAGGTGGGGGGGGGAGAGGAGAGAGGAGAGGAGGAGGGGAGGAGGAGAGAGGAGGTGCGCCTGGGAGAGTCGGCGAGCTGCCATCGAGTAGAAGTGTGCGAAGAGAGACCGCAGCAGCACGCCCGCGACGACGAGCAGCGCCAGGCGGCCGCTCAGCCGCAGCACGACCGCCATGCCCGCGAGGGACTGCAGCACCTGCGCCGAGTGAGGTCCCGACACACTCGACGAATGAGGCCAACGTGGTCAGCAGGAACAGCCAGCATGAACAGCGAGGCCGGCATGAGGTCAGCATGAGGTCAGCACACACCACTGCGACTGTGAGGGGAGGGAGAGCTGCACCTGCCGCAGCACGATGTTGACGTTGAGCGAGAGCACGTCTCCCAGCTTGACGCAGTCAGTGGCGAGGCGCGTCGACAGGTCGCCAGGGCCTTGCTCGTCGTGGAACGCCTGGGCAACGAGGGTGGCGATGAGAGCAAGAGTCGAGACATGGATCAACAGCGGCTATGCTTGTCGTGCAAGGCCTGCGGCTGAGCGAGCAGCGCGTCGAAGAGCGTCGCACGCAGCCGCGCCACCAGCCGCGCGCCGCACACCCAGAAGCAAAAGCCGCGGATGCCGGTGAACACGGCTGTGCCAAGCCCGACCGCGGCGAGGCGGACGAGGGCGGGCCGCAGCGGAGCGAGAGAGCCCGCGGCGTCCGTGCCGAGCCCAAGCGCCGCGTTGAGCGCTGCGCCCTGCAGGGCAGGCAGCAAAGCGTCGCCCGACGCGGCGACGGCGAGGCACACGAACGCCGTCACGAGCGGAGCGGCGTCGGGCTTGCACAGGGAGAGGAGGGTCTTCCATGGTGTCTTGACCTTCTTTGCGGGCGCCGCTGACAGCACGGGACGGCCACAGCGGCCACAGCGCAGGCCGGACAGGCCAGATGGCCGGGCCACCACTGGCTGCAGCGGGTGTAGAGCGACCGCAGCGACATGCTTGACACGCGCATCGGCCGCCAAAGTTACGGGCCGCGGAAGAGCAGGTATTGGCCCGGCGCGCAGTGCCACTGCTGCGACGGCCAGGGTCACGAGCGAGCACATGAGGCGGCGAGAGCACCGACTGCTCAGCGAGCGCACCGCCTAAGCTTAGAGCCGACCGATAAAGAATTTTACAACAAAACTCCCTCGCACAACACGATAGACACCGCCACATTCCTGAGACGAGCGAGGGAAGCCTCCTTAAAGGCGAAAGGGTCTAGATTTGGGGCGCTCGCCGAAGAGGAGTACGACAAAATAGCACCCGTGATTGCCTGCACGCTACCCGCACTCACGGACTCCATACCCGAAAGAAAGAGAAGGGACCTCGCGGGAGAGGTGACGAGTGAACTACAGGTAGTGGGGAAGGCAGCCTCGATTGCCATACAGAC